TTTGTAGGCAAAGATCATGTGAATAACTGTTGGCTGAAATATGAACTTCACAGGTTACAAACCAAAAGCTAAACTGAAATGCTTTTATGCCATGTTTTTGCAATGCCTAACTGCTGAATGTTGTATTTTTCAAATAAATCTATGTATAAATAATATAGAAAAACATTTTGGGTCGCACTGTAGGGCCCAGACATAATAGATACAAATTTATTAGTCGTCCCTGTTACAAATCCTGTGTATTTGTAAAATCAGAAAATGACCTTAGGTAACCTTAAAAAGTTAGCCAAAACAGTTATTTTCATGTAGAATATTCCATTGTGCAGATGTCATTTTGACACTTCCCTTTACTAGGACACCATGAAAGGCCCTGAGTGGTGCCACACCAATGATTGAACAGGCTAAGTGGATGTCAAAATTTAAAATCCCAAAAGCTTCCAGCTTACAAGAAAGGACTTTTAAAGTTTACTCCCCCTTCAGGTATCAGTAGCTAGTAAATTCTGCCAATAAATTTCTAAGTACACATCAAAGCTACATTGAATTGCTAATGCAGACACTTCATTCTGTTCTCTGAGTGGCTGCATGTGTTATGTACATAGGGACTGCTGTGCCGCTAGTCTGAAAAATGAACAAAACGGTCTAGAAAGAGAGCCGCCTATTTGTGTACAATGCTTAGTGTGCACATGGATAAAGGACAAGGTTGTCTGTAACTAGGTTTATCTAGTCGTGCCCTTTTTTAATGGGAAACTGAACATTGTCTTTTCTTTTAGTTTGTGTGATTCTAAACATATATTTTATATATATTCTTACTGTAGCACCCCCCGACACCTTGAGGCATGGTGGTACCCCCAGTGACAGGGTGGATTGACATTTCTCCTCGTGGGCAGATCAGTTAGGCATAATGGGATATGTAGACACAGAGGCACCAGTCGCTTTTAGGTGAAAAAGAATGTATTACTCACCGTCCATGGGAGAGGTTTAGGGTTACAGATTTCTTTATTTCAGGTACTTATATAGCATTGTCAATTTTACGCAGCATTTCACATATATATTGTACGTTCACATCAGTCCCTGCCCTCAACAATCTTACAATCTAAGGTCCCTAACTCACATTCATACATACACATACTAGGGACAGTTTAGTCAGGAGCCAGCCAATTAACCTACCAGCATGTCTTTGAAGTGTAAGAGAAACCGGAGTACCTGGAGGAAACCTACACAATCACAGGGAGAACATGCAAACTTCATGCAGGTAGCACCATGGTTGGTATCCAAACCAATGACCCTAGTACTGCTAGGCGGAAGTGCTACAGATGCTCAGGATTTTGGCAAAACTCAGTCACTTCACTTGTCATAGCCCAGGAAAAAAGACTTTAAGTCAAGACCGACACTCCTGTGTTTTAGCATCCTCATCCTTCTGTGAACAATGTGATCAGTAGCCATCTTTTTCCAGGAGAGGCAAAGCCTTTCAGATAGACTCATGAGGTTCCAGTGTAAAAGCCCTGCAGACACCTCCAGCTCCTGCTCAATCCTGTATCCAGGAAGGAACAGTCACATGCCCAAGCACACCTCAGCCCCTTCCAGCAGAAAAGCCTCAAGACACAGCTCCAGTACATGTACCGTCCCCAGGTCAGAGCCTGGAAGGAAGAGAGCTTGAACCAGCCAACAGCACATATTTAAACCATTTCCCATAATACACCACTGTAACAGGAAACTTCTAGTGGTGGGCTGGGAAAAGATGTGTATATTCATAATCCAAACCTACTGTATGATCTCACACTAATGCCAGAGGTGACAGTGCAACCTACTTCCAGAAAGGAGAACTGGCAGCCAGGCTGAACTAACTGACATTGTCTAACTGCAGTCATGCAGAACTAAATTTAAAGAAACTCCTGCTTAAGGCAGGGTGGCTACATTACTATATTATATATATATATATATATATATATATATATATATATATATACAGTTGTGTTCAAAATAATAGCAGTCAGACATCACTAACCTGGTCAATCACTGTTTTTGGTAGAAATGATATTTCTACATAGCAAATAATTTACTAGCAGGTGTAGTAGAGTAATAGAAATCCAACAGACCCAACAGTCATGACATGCATGCTGCTGATTCTGTGTAATTGAATCACTAATTGAAAGGGGCATGTTCAAAATAATAGCAGTGTGGAGTTCTATTAGTGAGGTCATTCATTCTTTGAAAAACAGGTGGCAATTATTGCCCTTATTTAAGGAAGGAAGGCAGCAAATGTTGTACATGCTGGTTACAGTGCATTTCTCTCTGAAATTCTGAGGAAAATGGGTCGTTCCAGACATTGTTCAGAAGAACAGCGTACCTTGATTAAAAAGTTGATTGGACAGGGGAAAACATATAAAGAAGTGCAAAAATTGATAGGCTGCTCAGCTAAAATGATCGCAAATGCTTTAAAATGGCAACCAAAACCTGAAAGACGTGGAAGAAAGCGAAAAACTACCATTCGAATGGATAGAAGAATAGCCAAAATGGCAAGGACTCAGCCAACAATCAGCTCCAGGAAGATCAAAGAAGGTCTAAAGTTACCTGTGAGTACTGTTACAATTAGAAGACGCCTAGTTGAAGCCAAGCTATCTGCAAGAAGCCCCCGCAAAGTCCCACTGTTGAAAAAAAGACATGTGCTGAAGAGGTTACAATTTGCCAAAGAGCACATTGACTGGCCTAAAGAGAAATGGCGCAACATTTTGTGGACTGATGAAAGTAAGATTGTTCTTTTTGGGTCTAGTGGCCGAAGACAGTTTGTCAGACGACCCCCAAACACTGAATTCAAGCCACAGTACACTGTGAAGACAGTGAAGCATGGTTGCGCAAGCATCATGATATGGGGATGTTTCTCATACTACGGTGTTGGGCCTATTTATCGCATACCAGGGATCATGGATCAGTTTGAATACATCAGAATACTTAAGGTCATGCTGCCTTATGCTGAAGAAGAAATGCCCTTGAAATGGGTGTTCCAACAAGACAACGACCCCAAACACACCAGTAAACATGCAACATCTTGGTTCCAGACCAACAAGATTGACGTTATGGAGTGGCCAGCCCAATCCATGGATCTTAATCCAATAGAAAACTTGTGGGTGACATCACAAATGCCGTTTCTGAGGCAAAACCAAGAAATAGAGAAGTCCAATCATCCTGGGCTGGAATATCTGTTCACAGGTGCCAGAAGTTGGTTGACTCCATGCAACACAGATGTACAGCAGTTCTCAGAAACAGTGCTTATACAACTAAATATTAATTAAGTGATTCAAAGGAGAGCAAAATCTTCAAACATTTTTCAGTTTATATAGTGAATGTTTGAGTTTGTAAAGAAGAATACAAACACTGCTATTTTTTGAACAGTCTAATATTCACTTTTCTTCAATTTTTTTAGAGGAACAACACAAATTTGATATATTTTTGTTCATGTTTTGATTTGGAATAGAATGTGTAGTGTTCCCAATGCATTTGTGTGTATGGAAATAAAAGCTATTAGAAGGATTTTGAGCTTTATTCACTTTTTTCAACACACTGCTATTATTTTGAACACAACTGTAAATATATACATAAAACTCTCTGTTTTACAAAGAAACAATTAATAAAGAATGCCCACTATAACAAAGGTGTTGTAAGTCATTATGGGTTTCTTAAAGAGAGCGCAAAGCAGGATTTTTCTTCCATACACTAATTAAAATTTTGTAGATGCCAAATGAAAAGAGAGTGTGTGTGTGTGTGTGTGTCACTCCCCTAATTATTCAATTGTGTGTAAATATGGCCTTGAACTAATTAGCCCTGTATAACAGGCATTTTCAGCAAAGCAGCTAAAACATATAAAACAAGCATTAAGAGCTGATTTGAAGCATATATGTGATATTTGAAGTGGAGCTATACTCACTTCTCTCCGACTCTCACCAACTCTTTCCAGCGCTGTTATGTGCCGGAGCTTCCCACTGCCTACTGACATTTACAGCCTGGCCGTTTCCATTGGTTGAGCCAAGATTACATCACTCCTGACACATGCATGGGAGCTCAGTCATCCCTGCATTGCCAAAATTCTACAGAGTTGCACATGCAGTCTGGGCTGAGGGTTTGAGCCCCGTAATAAAAAAGTATAGGAACATACCAAAATAAGTGCCCAGATGTCCAGACCAAGGGGGAGGGAAGTGCTTATAGTCCTGACAGTATTCATATCTCTTCCCACCACCAGAGTAAATCACCATTACACTAGTGGACAAGAAGCCCACACAAAAAAGAAGGGACACTTATTCTCCTGGTGCATGGATTTGGCCTGGTGATCATCATCACTTTGCCATCCTAATGCCCCGTACACACGGTAAGAAAATCGTACAAAAAATTTTGCGGAACCACTGATCGAACGATTTTCTCTTTGTTGATGAGCAGGATGTTTTAAACAATAACAATATTGTGAACAAACAAAATACGGTTTAAACAACAGTGAAAAATGTTGTCGTTTCGCATACGAACAACTGATGTTCTATGCGGTGGTATGATGGTCATACGAAAAAAATCCGATCGGTCGATTTTCTAATCATGTATTCCCACCTTAAGCCTCTGTATCTTTCATCAACATCCCATGATATTCTGTGCTCACATTGTGTTCTGACGTGGAAGTATGTCACCCCTTCTGCCAAAAGTGACTGTATGACTGGCTTAACCACTTGCCTACCGGGCACTTATACCCCCTTCTTTACCAGGCAAATTTTCAGCTTTCACGCTGGAGCACTTTGATTGACAATTACACGGTCATGCAAGATTGTACCCATATGAAATTTTTATCATTTTTTTCTCACAAATACAGCTTTCTTTTGGTGGTATTTAATTGCCGCTGGACACTTTACTTTTGTGCTATAAACAAAAAAAGTCCAAAAAATTTGAAAAAAAAAAAGTTTGTTTCTATTATAAAAGTTTTCAAACAGGTAATTTTTCTTCTTCACTGATGTGTGTTGATGAGGCAGCACTGATGGGCAATAATAGGTGGCACTGATAGGCAGCACTAATGACGTGTGATGGATAGGCGGCACTGACTGGCATCACTGCTGGGCACTGACTGGCGGCACTGCTAGGCATTAACTGGTGCAACTGCTGGACACTGACTGGCTGCACTGATGGGCACTGGTGGGTGACACTGGTGGGCACAGGTGGGTGGCACTGCTGGGCACAGGTAGGTGGCACTGCTGTGTGGCACAGGTGGGTGCACTGCTGGACACAGGAGGGTGCACTGCTGGGCACAGGTGGGCGGAACTGATGGGTGGCACTGCTGGGCACCGATCATCAGGGCACTGATCATCAGTGCCCTGATGATCGGTGCTGATCCCTGCTCTGACAACTGCCGCAGTACTCGGCAGTACTTACCTCATGCTCTGATAGCGAGAGGAAAGTGCAGCCGAGAACCGGATTTCATTTCCCGGTGATCAGCGTGTCATTGGACACAGCTAATCACATGGTAAAAGGCCACTGTGATTGGCCTTTTACCACATCACGTGATCAGCTGTGTCTGTAGGACACAGCGATCACGGAGATCGCCAGGTGCTTGCCCCCTGGGGGGGGCGCAGGAGAGCACATTCTGGGAGGACGTCATATGACGCCCTCCTAGAACTGGCCGGCCGTAGTGTAGCCATCATTCAGCTATCTGCGGCTGGCAAGTAGTTAAGTAACTGAATCTCATCGCAGAATGAGGTAGATGGGAGGATTTTTTTTACTTCTCTGCCTGTGTTGCTGTCCTGAAAGATGATTGGGTAAATAAAATTACCTTTTACACCAGAGGTCTCCAAACTATCTAAAGAAAGGACTAGTTTATCATCTTTCAGACTTTAGGGGGACCGGACTGTGGCCATTGGTAGTAGAAACTGACCTGGCATCAGTGGGAGTAATCAACACATCTTTGGTATTAGACAGAGGAATATAACCCTGTTGTTGGTGTCAGTGGCAAGTATAGTGCCCTATTGTTGGTGTCAATGGGAGGAATAGTGCCCCATTGTTGGTGTCAATGGGAGGAATAGTGCCCCATTGTTGGTGTCAATGGGAGGAATAGTGCCCCATTGTTGGTGTCAGGGGGTGGAATAGTGCCCCATTGTTGGTGTAAGTGGATGAAATAATGCCCCATTGCTGGTGTCAGTGGGAGAAATAGTGCCACATTGTTGGTGTCAGTGGGAAAAATAGTGCCGCATTGTTGGTGTCAGTGGGAAAAATAGTGTCCCATTGAAGGTGTCAGTGAAAGAAATAATGCTCCATTGTTAGTGTCAATTTAAGCAATAGTGCCCCATCGTTTGAGTCAGTTTGAGTAATAGTGCCCTGTCCTTGGTGTAAATGGGAGAAATAGCGCCCCGTCATTGGTGTCAGTGGGAGAAATAGCACCCCATTGTTGATACCTGTAGCAGGAATTATGCCCCATTCTTAGTGTCAGTGAGAGGAATGTCTTGTATTAGTGGGATGCAAAGTGCCCCAAAGGCCAGATAAAGGGCTACATTTGTCACATTTGTCCCCTGGGCAGTAGTTTGGAGACCACTGCTTTACTTTATTATATATTTAGCGGTATACGGATTTTACTTGTAGCATTGAATTGCTCTTAGCAACTCCTATCCTCATATTGATGTCCAGAACAAATAATTGCCAAAGCACAACAGGCAAAAATGCAAACATTGGCAAGGACACAGCTCGTTATGTTTGGCTTTTTGTTGACACTTATTGTTTGACACCTTTTTCAAAGTTCACCAGATTTTTAACAGATGATCACTTTTCACATTTGTTACATCCCTGCTGCTCATAGTAAATATTTGTGTAGTTCCACTTCCTTTCAACATACAGTAAATCATTTTTATATTCTCCTATTGATGTGAAGATTTTCAAGTTGTTTCTATCACACTCATCAGCCAACTATGCAAATCCAAAATGTTTCCTTGTCTCTACATTGTCGTTACAAATGATTTGTTTGCCCAAACATCTCAATACCTCTTTACATACAGCACAAGGATGTATTTATCGGTTAGGTTTTTTTAAGTGAAGATTATAAACACAAAAGTTTTGTCAAGCTGGATTGTAGACTGAAGAAATGATGTTTGAAAAACAGAACAATTCTTTTCATGGAACAAAGTAAGAACTGTCCCTCTACAGGTGTGATAGAATATATTTCTCAGTCTGCAGCTGGCCTCAGCTACTGAGGATACATAGAACAGTGTGGGGTGGCAAAGGAGACATCTTTGAGTCATTTTCCCCATAAGGTAAAAAAGATGAAAGCATGAGTTCAATTGCAAGTCAGAGGTTTGAATCGAAGTGATTTATCAATATGCAGCAGAACGAGCATATCTTATGAAGATGGATTGTACCTTTGAAATGTTTTTTCCACTTAACTTTGAGGATTAATAAATCACTGGAGTTCATTGCTCTGGTTTACATTGGGTTTTGCTCTTTCACCATACTACTTTTTCATTTGCACCATAAACTGGGGTGATTGGAAGCTTTGCCACTGCTGTTTTGATGTTGTCCAAATTCAGTTTGGTTCTTTCATAACCTAAAATCTATAATAGTAAAAATTGGAAAACTGTGGTTTAAATGTTAAAGGTCAAAATGCATGTGTAGGTATTTTCTCTTATGTGGAATGTTCAATCCAAGCCAGTGGAGGGTCTACTTTATTCACAAATCCCTATCTCTTAAACACAAATAGTTTAAAAAAGCCATACAAAAATGTTTGTCCAAACAAAGTATTTGTTAACATTAATGTGTATTTTGGCCCTGCTTCCAAATCTCCTGGGGGGTGACATTATTGTACCTCCTGGGAGAGCTGGGTGCTCAAAATCCCATGACAATGCACAGTTGTAATAGGTTGGAGCACATTCTTGTAGGATTTCTAGTTCCCATCTTACCTGGTAGGCAGTGGTGAGGTACGGTGATATCACCTATGCATGCCAGAGGTGTCTGAAGCCAGGCTGAGTCTTTTTTTTTTTTTTCAAACTTTATCTTTTGTTTTTTTAGTCACTTGTATTTGGGGTGTAGGGTTTATTTTTTGATAGCTTTAAAAAAACAAAACAAAAAAACTGTACCCTGCTGTGTTGGAGATGTCAGAGTTGGGCTCCATGCTCCACATTTTCTGATCTTGTGAGGGTCTTGAAAATTTCTGGTCACAAGTGACATATTGGATTCTGAAATTTACCAATATCCGAATGCCTTTTTATTACATTTGACCCCTATGTCATTGAAGTACTATAAACGTTCCATACTGATTTATTTACTCAACATTGCAAAGGAGTGCATCCCACTATTTTGGAAAGAAACAGTCGTATGTGCTCCTTTGCAATGTTGGATGCACTCCTTTCCCATTAAGACTTGGTTTGCCAAGATTAACAATTGATGGAAGAACTTGTGGCTGCGGCACAACACAGAGAGGAACAGGTCAGTAAGACATGGTTTTACTGGGATGCATGCTACTTTAAATATCAGGATATTTTAGTACCCCAACCATGACACCGTTGGCCCTACCCTTTGTGGTGGTGCCTGAAACCTCCCCAGAATCCGTTTGGTCAGCTATGCTCGGGTCGCTCACATACTTCACCATCCCCATTCCCTCTTTCTCCCTTATTTTCTATTGTCTGGTTCCCCTCCCCCCTTCCTCTCTTCTTTTCCCTTTTTTTTTCCTCTTGGTCTTTTTCTGTCCATAATAAAAAGAAGATAAGCTCATCAGAGGTCACTAGATTAAAGGGTACTGCTGTTGATATGATGGTCTGCATACTAGCACTTTCTGCATATTGTAACTATCCATTGGGCTTTTTTTTACGAGTTGGCACTGCTGATTATCTCATTTATATATGTGTGTAATATGCTCATTGCCTATGCCGCTTGTTATTTCGGAGCCTGAAGGCCCTGATTACTTGTGTATGACATGTAAAAACTATAAAGAATTTAAAATAAAAAAATAACTTGCTCAAATAGAAATATGTAAGCTGCTATTCATAACTCACCTTCTAAAAATGCAATTTACTTTTTCAATCCAAGAGCTTTAAGTCTAACTTTTAATGAGTATGTGAATATGATTTAACTGCTTGCTGCATTACTGTTACAGGTAAATGACTCAGTGGGGTTAATGTACTAAAGACAAATTGACTTTTCATCTTGCAAGTGTAGTTGCACTGCACAAGGGAATTCACCCCAGTGGTTAGTGAATGTGGGGAAACGTAAATTTGCAAAGAATACCCAATCAGGTACAAAGAAAAAACAAAACAATTTTTGCTTGTATAGGAATGGATTATGGAAGTCAGCAAAGCCTCACCTCATTTATTAAGCTCTAGGGTAAATTCCCCTTGCAAAGTGTACAGCCTTTACTTACCTTTAGCAAATCAATCCCATTTTAGATTGAGAGACATCCAGACAATTATCAGGAGGAGATTAGCAAAGCAGGCTCAGAGTCCCTCATAACACAGGTATACAACTATTAGGATTAAAACGCTACAATGATCAAAAACAAATGACTGACTTTACACATTTTGCACCAAAGGTGAAAATCTCAGCAGAACTACTGGCTGACATTTAATTTATACGTAAAGAAAAAAAGGTTACGACATTTAACAGGGGTCTTGAGAAAATGCTCACATCTTTTGTTCCTCATTTGTAAAGCACATTACACCATGAACTTAATAAAATCAGTGTGAAGTTCCCAGAAAACAATTAATCCAGCTCAATACTAATTGTTGGTTTGGTTAGTGTGCATTTTCCTTAACACTGATAATGAAACAGGGTTTAAAAATAAATTGTGTGCAGACATTTCCTGATTGATGGGCCCTCCAACGCCCATCAAATTAATGTTTTGATAACCTGGTGGGAGGAGTAGCACCAGGAAAGAGTAGAATGCATGGAGGAAAGCTACTATTTTGAGATTTGTGTTTGGGAAGATGTACAGCTTTGAAGAGCATGCACTGACCTTAAGATGGCGTACAAATCCAGGATAAAACTTACTACCTCTCTTGGCATGCCACATTTGCAGTATTATTTATTATATGGATCCCAAAAATTATTGTTACTTTGTGTTACTGAGTACTTCTTAGCTTGGTGGCTTTGGCACAGAAAAAACTTAAAGTTTAAAAGGTTGTACTTTTTTTGCATACAGCAGCCCGATCCTCTTCTTTTTGGGTCCCCCACCAGCAGTCCTGACTCCTCCTCTTGACGAGTGCCCCCAATAGCAAGTCTCTTGCTATGGGGGCACTCTTGAGCTGCACTCCTGTGAATGGACATTGTCCATTCATACACAGAGAGTGGCTCGGCCCCCCATTCTCTCCTCAGTGGCTCACTGGCTGTGATTGAAAGCAGCAGGAGCCAATGGATCCTGCTTCTGTGTGAGCCAATGAGGAGAGAGAGACCCGTGAGAGCTGCTGCTGGTATGCAGATTGCTGGATCGAAGTAAGTGTAAGGGGGGGC